TTGTTTCCCACCTGGCCTCCCCCTCGGAGCCACTGTCTGTTAGGCTGTCAGTAGCTGTCTTATTATTACCATCAGCGTTTGTGCTATCTGATAAGGAAAGTAGCCAAACAATTGCTATACATGTAATGCATGTTAATCTAATAGTAAACCAGTTATCTGTATCTGTCAGGTTCCTGTTTCTATCACAACTATTTTGTACTATTCTTTAATTTTTTTTTTTTTACTTTTCATAAAACACCATGTATATCAAGTAAAACATATGTTATACCACTGAATTGTCTTTTGTTCATCTCCTCAGAAACCTTATCAGGGAAATCTGACACAAAATGAGCTGAAGTCCACATCCAGCAGTGGTTATAGGGGACTTTCTAAATACAATATGCACCTTATTGTAGTCAGTAGCAGCCTCCTCAGTCTTATCTAAACAAGATGCCCTACTTTGACAAAAAGGAGACTAAACCCTTTCCTGGTCAGATGTACTGCTCTGCCTCCTGGGAGCATGTGAGGAATATAAGCATCATATTTATGGGATCATGTCTGCACGTTCATCCCTGAACATTTCTCATTGATGCTGGGAAAGAGCTTGGCTCTATTTGTTCTTATTATAGAAGACTCAACAACTCAGTGTTTTGTCAACTGGTTGAAATATTTCAGCTGAAATGCTGCCTGCTACTGCCAAATGTTTGTCTCTAGTAAACATTTGCAACTTTCAGTGAGTATGTGAGTACTAAAAGAATACCCTAGGCAATGTGTTTGGTTCATCTTTATGAAAACCTAACAGAATATCCAAGATCTGAGTGACTGCATTTATGTCTGAGCAGCACAAGAGTGCATGAGCTCTGGGAAACGATGTATGTGTCTAAGGGTGTGCATCATAGCTGCGCTCACCTCACCGCTGTGTATACAGTAAATGGTTTTAGTCTGCACTGCAGAGTGATCTGCTGACATGGTGTTAAGTGGTTAGCACTGCTGCCTCCTAGCAAGACGGTACCACGTTTGAACCTCACAGGTGCCTGTGTGTGTGTCTGCTTGCATGGATTTTCTCTGAATACCGTGCCTTTCCCCAGTCCAAAGATGCCAAGTTGTTTGCATGAGAGAGGCAGACTCGGGACTTGGGTGTGAAGATGAAGGCTGTGCTCATGGGAGCCTGCTTCCTTGCTCACAGTCCCTAATCTTGTTAACTCATTAATTTTGGGATCCTGTCAAATGATAATTTGCTTCGTCATCAGTTTTCAGGATTTCATGTTCTTTGAGCATCAACGAGGCTGAATTGAATCTTTGAACGTGCAGGTTCCGTCGTCTGAGACACAAATCTGTAAATCACACTTATCGGTAGGTGTGAAGCGCTGCAGCACATTCCCTGTGTTTCTATCAAAACTGTTTTGTACTGTTTTCTCGTCTTAGAATTGTTAAATACAGAAAGAAAAATACCATGTATATCAGAAATAAATGCCATGTTAAGCCACTGCTGAGCTGCAAGTGTCCAGGAAATGTTGGGGAAGCCCAGAGTCTAAATGTGGGACATCTGGTTTCCCTGGAAAAAATGATCTTTGCTTCACCAGGAAATCCCTTTTGATTCTGTGATGCAAAATGAACCAAAATCCCCTTCCAGCAAAGGTTACATGGGACTTTCCCCATACAAAATACTTGTTTTTATTACAGAAAACAATTTCTAATACAATATGTACATTCATTGAGGTAAAAAAAAAAAAAAACTATTAGCAAAATCACAGTGAGCTAGAAACAATTTAATTACAAATATAAAAAACTAGTTAGAAACATTACGTTGTTTCGCTGAATTGTTTCTTGTGCATCAATCTTCATTTTCCTACTCTTATATGCACTGGACCTCCCATATATGTTTCCATATCAGAGTGGTGGATGGGAGTTGTATTGCACAGTTTCCAGTGCCAAAGCGTGTCGATGGAAAGCAGGATGTTGCTGAAAAAGTCAATCATCCACACTTTATAAAGGTCAAATCAGACTCTTCTCTCTGCGCTAACTGAAGGTCGGTCTCTGTCGCTCGGGCCGGGCCTGTCGTCCCGAGACCACCGGATCAGGTAGCGGCTAGCCACTTGCAGGTTCCACTGGTATCTGGACAGGATCCTCAGACAGTCCAGGCTCAGGGAGTACAGCTGTTCCAGCTGAGGGGAGCACACACAAGAGGACAAGACTCAGAATCAACCATCAAAATACTGTGGATATTTAGATTGTTGCCTGAAAGGAAAAAGCATTTACATAGCATTAAACAAACAAAAGTCGAGCTCAGAAAACTGCTGGCTATTTGTGTTTAGTGTTCCAAAGCAAACCACGTTCTTTACATAAGCATTCAAATACAAAACACCTGCTGTGACATCACGGAGTAGGTGTAGCCTGTGCCTCAGTGTTTGTCAGTTAATTGTCTTTTCTTCAGTGTGATTCACTGTTAGGTTATTATACATTATTGATGACTGATTAAAGCTTAGCATGATTTATATATACACATAGAAGTAGACCTTATAAAATAGGCAGCCCATTGCAACTGACACACTGCAGACTTGCTACATTTATGATTCAGATTTGATCTGTAAAGACCTCAGGTAATATGAGGGGAACATTATTATCTGGTGAAAATTATCTACAATATTAAACACCCACCCCTACCCACAAGCCCATTTACTAAAATAATAGAACCCTGGACTACAATACAACTAGGGAGGTGAGACTTGCTAACAATGCAAGACGCTCCTTTGTTGATATTGTGCTTCACAGGTGAAAATGTGCCAAAGGTTAATCCAGTCTCGCTCTAAAGCTGCATGTAAAGCAAACATTTTCTCAGTGTAGGTGGAGGAAGAAGAAAAGAATCAGGATCCGGATTCTTATTTCAGGTTTTAATAACGAGCCTGATTTCAAACCCGCTCCCTGAGGAGATGGTACAGACAGTGGTGGAAAGTAACTAAGTACATTTACTCAAGTACTGTACTTAGGTACAATTATGAGGTATCTGTACATTACCTGAGTATTTTCATGTTCTGCTACTTCATACTCCATCTTCACTACATTTCAGAGAAACATATTGTGCTTTGTACACATTACATTTATTTGATAGCTTCAGTTACTAGTTAACTTTTCAGAATGAGGTTAATAAAACAAACTGTATGATCATAAACAGCTATGGCTGTATTACTGTATTTTCTATTGAAGTATGTTAAATAATCCGTGAAAGATTGTCACAGGCTTCAAACTTCTACTTTTGAATTTTATTCGGTTCATTGCACTGTATTGTTTTTATTATTCTGCTTACTTCTATTTTAGCTTTTTATTTTTAAGTAAACTGTTATTATATTTAATGTGCCTTACTGCTCGTCGTTCTTCTGTGTTAATGCCCTTTGCTGTACAAATAAGCTGCTTTGCTTTGCCTCAGTTGCTTCTAACAGCAGATACAGGTAGATATGATGGATTTTTTTCATTTGTATTTCCACTCATTTCATGGTCTGACCTTAAGCTGTTGCTCAGCCCGCAATGGGTTCCAGTCATTACGCTGAAGTGCAGTACGAACCTCTTCAATGGTCACTCCATGTACTGCCTCCATAACCTGAGCAGAGCAGAGCCACACAACTCTCATTTTAATCCAATAAGCAAAAATAAGTTTATAAAAATGCACCTAAAACAGAAGAAAAAAGTCATTCACCTGTGCAACGAGACTGTCTCTCGTGTTATGCATATGAGGTGAGCTCTCTCGATCTCGGATTCGCTCCCGCTCTCTGTTGTCTGTAAACTCGTCCAGCTGCGGAGTCGAGCGTGCCATGTTTGCCATCTTTGCCAGGTTGGAGCCTCCCTGCTGAAACTGGTGCTGCGGCTGAGGTTGAAGCTGTGGCTGCATCTGAGGAGCCAGGGCTGCCTGAGGAGGCCACGAGGTGCCAGGGGGTGGTGGAACTGTGGGTTTCCTTGGATTTTTCAAATTCAAACGCTTCAGGTTGGGGAGTGGTGGTCGAGGTGGGGGGACTGAGCTGATACTGGCGTCACTGAACCGACGAGGGTCCTGCCCGATATTCTGACCTCCCATCACAGGGGGCATCAGTCTGCCTTGCTGATCCACTCTGACCATCCCTACTGTGTGTGCCCTGGGTCGGGGTCCATTCAAGACTGACTCCAGGCTCTGAGACAAACCTGCAGACACACAGACAGTCGCTTTAATGCGGGAAGTGCAAGTGCTATTTCAGTCAGAAATATGGAAAACAATTACACACGATGCACCCTGCACAGTTCAGTAGAATGTGAATGAGCCTGGTCTGGAAAACCCAATACAGCCACTAGGGGGCAGAGTGAACCAGCACCCACATCCATGCTACACTTTACACAGGTTTAACAGGTTTTAAGTGTAAAAGGTGCTCAAACTGAAGAAGTAACTACACCAGTAACAGCAAAAGGGACACGAAGGAGCTGCTCACACTTCCAAAACAGCACTTTGTAACTTTGTTTTGAAAAGTTCTCTACAAATAAAATCATTATTTATATAACAATATTAGTGATAAAGATGTGGTGTCCAAAACCTTCAGACCACGAAAACACAACATTTAAGATATGTAAATTACAATACTATAATGTTCAAAATCTCTGATTATCTCTAGTCATATCATGGTACTGTACTGATATTCTGTATCTTATAGCTTTATATTCTGCAGGTGGTTGGATTTTAAGTTCCTACCTGCCATTTTCTTGAGATTGGACCCTTCCTTCTCCCTGGTGGGGCCCAGTCTCCAGCTGCTGCACAGGTCAGAAAAGTAAAAAATTCAGTTTCATATTCATATTATACGTAACTATTGACTGTCAGCAGGTGAAAGTTCAGTGTTGAATCTGCATTAAAACTGAAGGACCTCAGCTGAAAACACAGTACTGTGCAACAGTTTTAGCAAAGTTGTAATGAAAATTTATATTTATTTGTGAGAATCTTTATTAAGATATAACCAGAAAATAACAGAAATGTATACAGTATTAAAAAACTTAATTTTCAGAACCAAATGGCTTCTACAGTCCAGAGTCAGTGTTTTTTAATACTGTGTACTGTATTTCCTTTATTTGTAGTTACTCTGATTCTGATAAACAAATAAAAATAGTGTATATAGCCATCATGACACAGCTAAAACAACAAACCTAATGGTGCCATAAGACTTTTGTACAGTACTGAAGATGTTTTACATGATGTTGGCAGAATTTTAAAAAAGTGGAACTTTATCATTTAGAAAATCACAACTAAAAACGTCTTGTCTTTGTTTGGCAGTGTTTGTGTAGAGGCGGCAGTGAAGGCTGTAAATCGTACACTACAACGTAGGAGGCACCCACCCTAGAACAATATAATGAGATTGAAAACAGCTACTAAATATGAACCTTGCATTGTCTGTTTCTTTTGTTTGGTGGTGCAATTTTAGCTGCAGTCAGCCGGTAATTCAAGTCGCCGTTTGTTTTACGTAAATAAAAACGCCACGGTGGGACTGGCTGCTTTACCACCTTGACTTTCCCTCAGTCAGCAGGCTTCAGTTTATTGTATGCCTGTTTTAATCTCAGCAGATAATAAACCAAACACGCAGTACTGGCTTTGTGTCAGGATACTTTCAGTTCAGATGCAGTAGCAAAGCAACACTGGTAAACATGAGGTTTGTTGTCTTTCAGAGCTTCTCTTACATTTAACCATCGTAAAAGGAGAGATTATTACAGAAGGAGCAAATGTACCAAAGAGTCTAAGTTAGATATAGAGGAATGAATGAAGAGCATCACTGACTCATCCGCGCCCTCTGGCGTTCCCCGGCAGCGGTCGGGGTTGAGATCTCCATGCCCACTGTGTTGCAGATTTCCCTTCACTGGGCCCGAGATGTGGGCAGAGGTAGGGGCAGGGCTGGGCCCGGAGATGCTCGGAGCAGCGGACGCTGCAGGAGCAGCAGCAGAGAGAGACGGTGCAGTGAGGCTCGCAGGAAACCAGGCGACTGCCAGCGTCCTCTGGTTCTGGCCTCTCCACTCACTCAGCTCCAGACTGCACACAGACAAAAACCAAAAAACCTTGATTGTTCATTTTTGCTGAACAAGTGACACAGACGATGTAAAGACAAACGCACAAGCAGATATAAAGGTTACACTTCATAACACAGCCTGTAATTTACAGTGTAAGTTAGTAGCAATCAAATACAGGTTCCTACTGCTACTTAAATGTAGTTATAGGTAGACGAAAACAGACGATGGAGACCAAAGCAGTAACAATTTGGCAAAGGAGAAAGAATTTATGCTAAGTACTTTTACAAATACTGGGCACCTCCAGGTTATAGAACAAATCTGAATTGTGGGAAACAGTGTTATAACATGGCTCTCACCATGGAATTCAAAATGTTTTCTGTTGTCATTTGAGAAGAAAAAACTATAACACAACAAAGTCAGGTAATAATATAACATGTATTACAGATATAGGTGGCGTAAGCACAACTGATATTTAATGTTTAATGGGGAAGCTTGTAATTATTATTTTAATTTTTTTAATTATATATCATATATAAATTGCTGGAATGGAAACTGTCCAGTCTGCGCCACAGTAGGATTATCAGTGTGTGTGTGTGTTTTACTTTATTTTTCTGTTTCTAATTATGTGATTAATATACATTAAGCCCAATTAAATCCTGTATTCTTGAACTTTGGTTATTTTGTTTTATTTTGGGGAAAGAGAGCAGTATCAGTAAGGGGATTTAATGCATGATTAAATCCTTTTCAGCGCCCTGTTAAGTAATAGGGAACAGTACAGAGTTAGATGTTTAGTACATAACTAGATTATGGGCATTAACAAAAGCCTGTAAACGGTGCCAAAACAAAAATCACCTTGACCATTATGTTAAAAACACTGAAGTCGGTGTCATACTGCAGCTGTTAGGCTTGTTCAGACAAACAAAGTAAAATCAAAGACTCCGTGAGATCACAGTTGGAATGCACTTTGGTGACTGGGCCGATTTAAAGCCCTGTTTCACCTCAACAAAAGCCCTTTGTGTCGGTCAAAGTTTTTGTCCCACCCTCCTTTCCCTCACCCACCCATGGTCTATGACGGTAACAAGGTCGCTGGCCTGAAGTGCAAGTTTTCTGGGTTCAGCGAAGTCCCTTGTTGCTTGAACCTCCATTGGTTTAGCCTGTGGAGGGAAAAAGGAAAAATTATACAAAGATATAGTGAAAAATCCCCCCGTCACCTAGTAAATAGTTGTTTTCTTTATTTTCCCATCAAAGTCAATAGAAGCTTATCATTATGTTTCAGACCTCTGCCACCATTGAGGTGAGCAGGGCGAAGCTGGGCCTGTCAGCAGGGTTACAGGCCCAGCATTTCCTCATGACAAGGTACAACTCTTGAGGGCAATCCGGTGGTTTCTCCAGGCGCTCGCCCTCCCGCTCCACACGCCACAGAATCTGTATTGAAGGCAGTGAATGTCAGAGAAGCTAAACCTCTGAGTCACAGAGTATATCAGAAGAGCAAGCTGTGTTAGGGCGGGGACACACATTCCAGACATGAAGACAAATACACTGACTGGCAGATATGCAGTGCTGACAGCTGACAAGCACGTACCTGTCGGCCTGACAGACCAAACCAGGGCTCCTCACAGTAGGTGAACATCTCCCACATGGTGACACCAAACATCCACACGTCTGAGGCGTGAGAGAAAGAGCCGACACGAAGACTCTCTGGAGCACACCTGGAAGAATAGCAGGTTATTAAGTGAGAATTGTGTGTATTATTTCCTCCACCAACTCTCAATTTCCTGCTTCTTCCAAGAGTCCTCACCATGCAAACGGAATCCGTTTGTGTGCCGACATGACGTAGTGGTCCGTCTCTTGGTTCAGGCCTCTCATCAGGCCAAAGTCCCCGATCTTCACCATCTCCCTGGAAGCCAGCAGCACATTTCTCGCAGCTAGGTCCCTGTGGATGAACCTCCTGGTCTCCAGGTAATCCATACCTGCCACGATCTGGGTAGCAAAGAGCCAGAGGCGGACCAGAGGGTACTCATACTGACGTAAGCGCAAGGTGTCGTACAGTGAGCCCAAGGGGGCCAGCTCTGTCACCTAGAGAAAGGAAAATTACCTCACTGTGTATTCAAGCATCATTTAAACAGATATAATGCTTAATTAATCCCCAAAATATCACAAGATAAAATAGCACACCATCTTCAGGGGCTGTGTGAGCACCACGCCATAGAGTCGGATGATGTTGGGGTGGTCCAGGGACTGCATGGTGGTCACTTCTTGGAGGAAGTCTGTCAGTGTGTTTGTATGCCTCGACATGCTGCTCCTCAGAGACTTTACTGCTACAGGTAGCTGAGAGGAGGAAGAGGACAGAGGCTAACTCCCAGGTCGATCTCTATATGTTCACCCTCCCTACTGTGCCTGTGTTTGTGTGGTCACCTGTCAGGTTTGTCAAGGCCCATCTCAAACCAGATAAACCCTCTGATAGCGAGTCTACACCTGTGCAGACTCATCTCTCATCTTAGCTAGAAGTACGAGTGCCAGATAATAAAGGAAGAATTCAATATTCAACAACAAAATGGAACATTAACAGGTGACAGTCGCTACAAAGGAGACTGGGAACCAGAAAGTCTTAATATTCAACAATGATTAATAATCAAAACCAACAACAAAAAAGAAAGAACCCCCCAAAAAATCCATTCACTTTTTGGACAATATTTCCTGCCTGTTTCAAAGATCAAATATCTAATAAAGGCACAATATTAAAACTGCTGCTGATCAGATCTTACCACTCTCCCAGTGGTTGTGTGCCACTCTCCTCTTTTCACCACCCCAAAGGACCCGGAGCCCATTTTCTCCCCCAGAATCAGCTCGTTGGCCTGGATCAGACAGGGCAGCGCCCGGCTGCCCCCTTCCTGGCCTGGAGGCGACAGCGCTGATCGTAAATTTATCTTGTAGCATTTCAGAGCATGCCATAATCTTCTTTGTGCTGGAAGACAAAAATGATTAAATTATACCCAACATGACATATCAATCTGTTTTATCAAAGCCTATAAAAATGGCATTGTTCTATAAATATATTCACAGTAGTATAAATTTAACATCACAATCACTCCACTGTATCCTTCTGCACCACAATACCACTGTCAAAATCTCTCTAAACTGTGTTATGGGGTGCCACAGTATTATATTATCATGGGTTAAGCCTCTCTGTTTGAGGAATATAGATCCTGTATCTACTGATTTTCACCTAACATAGCTGGTCAAAGAAGACAATCAGGCTCACCAGGTTTGCTGATCCCTATCTGCTCCAGGTCAGACTCTTTGACATAGGCAAAGTGCTCAGCGCGGGTGATGTTGAGGCCATCTCTGACGCGCAGGTAGAACTTCTCCAGCTGGACCTCGACCAGGAGCTCGTACAGCCACTGAGTGTCCTGGGCCATCAGCATGACCCGGCCGAGCTGCCTTCAGGGTCACAAGTCAAAGTGGGTCATTAATTTCACAATAAGAGCAGAAACTGAGAGCTCAGGCATGTTTCCAGTCCAGAAGACCAAACTGTATCTGAGTCTTGAGCCTGTTTCACAGTAACTTTGCTACCACTCAGGCCTTGTTAGGTCACCATGGAGACCTAACAAAGAGCGCTCTGTGTGATACCAGAGGGGGGTTGTTCACCTTTTAGCCATGTGTCAACTTTTAACAAGTTTTTTGTTGGTATCTATGAGCAGGAATCTCAAACTACAACTAATTCCTTGTATCTGCTGATCATGTTTTCTGCAGTGTATCAAACTGTTACAAGGACAATGTGGCAGACAGATAAACCTTTAGGATTTTTTATTAAAAAGTGCAAAATGAAAAGTGACATTTGCATATGTTGGCATTAGCAAGCAGGCAGCTAGCTACCTGAATGAGTAAAGAAAAAAAATAGGGACACATGATGAAAGATGCAGGAAAGAGGAACACGTGGATGATGGAAAACAAACAAACAGAGACAATGTATTTTCTCTTCCTCAAAACCTGAAACAAGTAGGCCCAGTATCAGGCTGTGGAAAGGGCTTTTGTCTCATTTTGAACCCCAGAGACAACAATCCTTTAGGGACGTGAAACACTGAGAGGTGGAAACATTAGCTTGTTGGTGGTTTATGGGCACCAATCCGACCAGATCCTGCTCACACATTTATGGTGCATGTTGAATAAAGCCTGATAAAACTGTTTGGGGCATTATTTTCACTTTCAAATTAATTATCTACTTTACAATTTGCGTGTGTAGATGAAGCATTTGCATTCCCCTGGTGATGAAAGAGTTTGCACAGCTTCCTTATTGCCACAAAATGAAAACTCAAAGTGCAGCCAGTTCTTCTGGTGTCTTGCTTCTGCTGTGCTACTGGAGAATTGCACTGCCATAAACCACCTGCTTATCAGCACACCAAGCCCAGCAGGCATGAGTCAGGGAAGACCTTCAGCATTCCCATGTCAGCTGTCCTGGTGAACCACTGGCAGGTCGACACTGTTTTCAACATGAACACGCTCAGTCTTAAAGCAGACAAGTGTGAGGGGGCACTAGTCTGGGCATGCATTAATTTCCAGGGACAACTCCCAGTTAATTTGCACCTGCCTTGAATGAGCATGAGACAGAAACTCTCTAGTGGGCATGTTCAAATCTGAGAGGGAAACAGTCACCCAAAGATGCACACTGATAAACAAAGAGAGCTCTGTGACCGTTGGCTCTACACTATCTGTACAGACAGGTGAATCTTTAACCTGCTCAGCTACTGAAATCTCCTTTATTCTAAGGGCATAGCTGACAAAGTGTCCAACTATTCAGTAAAAAGCCTAATGTGGCTCAACACTAGCTGGTGAAACTGGCCTGACCTTTGTCATACTGTACATTATCTTAAAGAGCCAGCAGCACTGTTTACCCAGCCTAACTGCACTTCTGTTGGAGAACGTGTGTTTACACTGCTGACGCCGGTTTCCTCTGGAGGAGCCCAAGAGCAAGTCAAGATCAACCCAGGGTCACAAAGTTTAATTAAACATACCTTCAGTCATAAGTGTAATTTTAGATCAGCTGTTATTATAATCTCTTATAAAGGGGTGAAGGGTGTGCCTCAAAAATCTGCACATGTGGATTTCACTACAGACAATGAGACACAGTAAATCTGTGCAGTGTAAAAATACTGCTGGCATTAAAAATCATCAAGTAGTCAGGTATTAACACCAAAATATACTTAAAGTGTCAAATCCTAAGCACTCCTGCAGCAGAATGGGCCCACTCAGACTTATATTACATCAGTGATTTATTATCATTGATTTATTTTTAAGCTGAAGCTACCAGGAACTTCCTTATAAACCATATTTTATTCTACTAATCACCTTTTTGTATATAAAACCTCAGTCAGAAAAGTAACTAATAGCTATGGCTGACAAATAAATGTAGTACAATGTAGTAACAGCACAATACTTTTTAAATGTAGTGCTAAAGAATGAAGTAGCATAGCATTTAATGGTCCAAGGAAAGTATGTGAGTAAATGAACTAGTCATACACTAGTATGACTAGTCATATCTATCATCAATATCTATTGTATTCAAAAGGTTGGATATATAAAACATTAGGGTCAAGGGCACTGTGAATATTCTCATGAAGAAGCTGATTATCTAATAAAACCTTCATTTTCCCCAAAAGGCTCCGATACTAACCGTTAAACACAATAACTCTCTTCCAGTTGACAGCTATTCCTTAATCACACACGGCCCGAGACAGATCCATGTTGGCTCCGCAGCGACGTGGCCTCCCCACAAACCACTGCTCTTCTCTGAATCTCAAACTTCTTCACAACAAGTGTGACAGATCCAGGCTGTGTCCGGCAAAGATGCACCTTAAATTTATGTTACATGTCCTGACGCAGGGAGTTGCTGATCCACCTGCGTGTTTTCGGCTTCTTTCTCCGCCTCTTTTCAGTTTCGCAGTTGACCACACCCTCTCCGTTCTCACCTGAGCTTACAACACAGCACAGACAGGCAATGTGGAAATTTTAAGCAATAATAAATAAATAGTTCTCTGATTACATAAGGCTAATTTCTTGTAATGTGATTGTTGTTTGCCTTCACTGATCAAATGACCTTTTAAATGCCACAAAGACAAATTTAGTATAAATTTCCTATTAGTCATGGCTGAAGTGCAACCTATTACTAAAAACAACAACGTTAATTCATTCCTTCATTATCCATGGTTAATTATTATGTTTTATTATGAACTCGGGTGATATTTGCCATGAACTATGAGTCAAATAGAGAAACTCAAATTGTTATTGTCTTTCTTTCTCCATACGTGTTTGTTGCAGGGCAAGTTTGACAGGATGATTTAGTCTCTCACATGGCTGTTCATCTGAATGCAAGCCAGCCAGGGAGCACAGTGGAGGACACTTCCTGGTACAATATATAGCCTTTTCAATCCTTCCTGTCTGAATAAATTATTCAACTCACACAACAGATTTCAGTGGAGCAGCCACTTATTTGAAGTATGAAAGAAGTGAAAACAAATCTCAGTGCTTGTTCCAGTTTTCAGGGTTGTTTAAATACCTCAGCAACCACAGAATTACAAACTGAGCCTGCTGTGGATTCAAAGGGACTCTTTTTAACTTTTCATTGTTCACCGCAGGTCTATAACTTTATATTATTATTATTATTAACTTGGACACAAAGATGAGAAGTCAGATTATCTGAATCCTATTGAAATCTAATAAAGTAACAATATCTATTATAAGTTTAATTATAATCATGACAGTAGTCATTGTTATATGTTTGTTTGCATCCTGTTTATAAAATTAACCAAAGCAAAATAAAAGATACAACAATAGCAACAAGTAATTATAGGAAGCTGTCTTTTTGTCTATTTTTTTTATTAATCAGTGATACTGATACTAATCAATGATACTAAATTGACTGCTGATCGACAAAGACACACAGCGCCCTCTAATGGCATAATATCGCGTATGTCGCATGTTGAAACGTCATCATACAGCGACAATGTATTTTTCTTCTATTAAAAGGAAAGTAAGAGTAGTTTTTCTTTTACGCTACGCTGAGAGTCAGAACTAGTTTTATGTCATTTTTATCATAAAGTACACGTTTTACTGTTATATTTACTATCAACATACAAAATAAACGTCCTAGGAAGTCCTTTTTCAGTGTCTAAACACAAGGCTCGTTTTCGTCTCTGATGTCCAACTATGCCACAACTCGTCGATATAAAGGTTCCAGGAGAATGTAATACTCTTCCTGAAGGGTTTTGGTCGGCGATAGATGTGTGGTTAAAGAAACCTCACGTTCTAAACAAGCGTCTCTGCGGAGTTAAAGAGACGGAGAGCAAAGACTTGCGGTTCCCGTTTGACGACCCTCTTTCTGAACTCTCCTCTGATGTGTTGTCCTTCATAAACAGCGGGTGTTCACCAGCAAAGCCACACGAGCAGGACAAACGCTGGTCCTCCACTGTCAGAACCTTTATTCCTAAAGTAAACTGTTATGGGAAAACCCTGCATAAAGATGTTGTAGTGAAAGGTAAGAACTGGACCTGAAGGCTCCGCCAGGCTGTTTTCTTCTCTGACCTTTTATTTATTTCTTTGTCTTGTCTAGACTTTGGCAGACAACAAGTGACCTTTCTTCCATTTGAAGAGGATGCAGAAGGGCAGGTGTCTCTGAAGAAGGGCAACATTTATCAGATTCAGCTCTGCAGTCACCACTGTGAGGAATGGTGAGTGAAATCATTCTTCAGCAAAGTCCAAACAGAGTTACAGACCAGACAAAATTGTCTGAATGTCTTAATATAATCCAAAATAGCAGGCATATTTTTTTTCAGACATATTAACAGAATATTTGACATAAGATTACAAGTACTGAATCTTCCTCTTCATGTTAGTATTTGCAATGAAGTACTTAATGTCTTAAAAAGGACTAAAATAAAAGATTGCTAATGGATTAAATATTTGTGTGGCAAGTAATGCTCTTATGCCAATTTAATTGTTGAGGAAAACAAAATGCATATGGGCGACAAACCTTGATGTGAAATCAAAAGTCATGTCACCATGCTCATATATTTGACTCTTATGCAGATGAAAGCTGACGCATGCAGGGAAATGTACTTTTCGATGGTAGCAACAAGCATGAAGAATGTTTGCTCAAATTGTTCCAAACTGTGTGGTTTGTATTATGAAGCTGACCAACATAGCAAAAAAACTAATTGTCTTGGAGACTGTGAACGAATCAGTTCTGTGGTTCAGAAAGAAAGCAACCTTTTTGAAGACTGTGGGTTGACCCGCAGGTCCTTGGAGCTGTATGTCTTGACTCCAGATGCCTGGTTCTCCGATGGCGTGGTGTACCCCAAACTGCCCTGGCTGTTCTCAGATCTGCTGCCTAAACTGGTGCGCTGGGCCACCGAGTGCAAAAGCAGCGAGTTCAGGAGCACCTTGTCTCTGCTGCCAGTGGAGAAGTATAACCTCATGTACCAGCAGCTGAAGGACAAATACAAATCCATGGTCAAGGTGAAGAGTGTGGATGCTTTAAGCCTGCTCTGCGTGTGTCTCTTACTGTACAGTATGTACTGGAGGTGCTGATGTTTCTGGATCATTTTCTGATATGTTATCTAGGTTTGGCCTGAGGTGACAGATCCTGAGAAGTTTGTCTATGAGGATGTGGCCATTGCTACTTATCTCCTGGTGGGTTGAAACCTGGCTGGTAATGTTGTTTTAATACCCAAATCAATGATCTGTGTGGCAAGTACATCTGTTTTATACTTGAATTGGGTCTTGAAGAATAGTTTTGCAACAGCATTAGGTGTCACACTGCAGGTGTAAAATGGGTTTTATTAAAATGACTGGCAGCTGAACACACAGTAGCACTGAGTCTCTGGCAATGTGCTGTGCAGGTGCTGTGGGCTGAGGAGCGAGTAGAGAAGGATCTGACCTCCAGACAGTCCTTTATTGACCTTGGCTGTGGAAACGGCCTCCTGGTTCACAT